TAGACCAATTCCCCACTAGGGGCTCCCCAAGTGGAAGACCCATGATAGGGTGTTCCCAAGTGAAGCTGCACCCTCTACTGCTGCAGCCACTGGGGCCTCCCTACCATCCACAGTGGGGTTTCTAGGCATCTCCCCACTATCTCAAAGGGCAGCCTGTCCAAGAGTTACACCCATGCAGACAGATTTTGGATTCAGAGGTCCTGCTGACCACCACCAGATGTAACACTGGGGGAAAAATCCAGGAGTAAAGTACCTTTGAAACTGAAATCAGTTAAAGGGAGAAATAAAGTGGGAGAAACCCATTTATTTCTTTCAAGTAGTTGTCTCATGTCTCTCCCAACCCAGCTTCAGAAGAGGCCCCACCCAACCTCTCCAGTCCAGATAAACCCTCACTTGGTCTTGTAATTACCTATTGTTATGGAGATGGAGTACTTCTCTCCACCCACTGGAAATACCTATTTATATGGAGTTCCACTAAGGCCAGGTGAAAGATTCTGAAAATATTGCAACTTTACCCACACCTAATATTTAGCCTTTAAGAAGAATGGGAATTTTTTGCCCTCATATTAGGGACACAGTCATGAATTATTTGTGTTTGATACATGACAATATAGCAAATATTTCTGATTGATTTTTGTTTTCTTCTTTTCTATCATTCCTTCTCTTTCTCTTTCCAAAGCACTCCCTCTACCTACCAACACATGTAGAAGTGATTTAGTTACAGTGCTAGAAGGGTAAACTAAGATCATCCATTGAATCACCACAAATAGTTTACACTGGTGTAAACTTTTAAGAATTCTAATAGTCAAGTCTGGCTCTAAGATCAGTATTATAATAAATTGTAGTTCATGATAATGATAGATGTAAGCACTATTTAAATAGTGAGGTAGAGCAAGGACATGGGACAAGCATCATGATGAACTTTTCCTACCAGTGATGAAAAATACCAAAACATAAATAGTACAGTAAGAACAGGAGGGCTTCATCTGAAGGCTAAGATTCTGTTTAAATACGAGAAAGCCAGGAGGCAAGATTCCTAACATATTTTATGGTAATCAGCCAATAACCTGCCCTATCTTAGGCAAATAGCCCTGAATGACATGTTCCCAATTCTTGAGAGTTACCACTATCTTGGAGAACAGGATCAAGAGATTCTTTGTATTGTTTATCTTACAGACTATGTAGAGGACTGACTATGGATGTCAGATATGACATAATCTGTCTCACTTGAGATAGACATCATGAGAACACATATTAAGCCTAAGCCCCCAACCTTGGTACTTTGCCCCATTCTTGAAAGCCTGAAAAGACAGATACGTAAGCCTTTAAGTGCACCTCCTTTTGAGGTTGCCCACAATCCCCTTTCTTCAATTGTGTACTTTTCTTTAAATAAAGACTTCTTGGTGTTCAACTTACTATATTTTGTCTCTGCACTCTTCCAAGCCTCTTGGAAGGTTAATAAGAGACCTCTTTTCCTAGTGGTAAGTGTCTTTGTTACTTCACTATTTCATTCAATTTTGAGACTTAAGCACAAGTTTTCATTTTCTCTTTTCTACTTCAGACATGCAGAGAGGGGCTACTGAGGCCTCTGATTTGGGCTTGCAAGTTTCCATCATCTGAGTGACCCAGACAGGACTGCAGCGCTATGATCATGCTCTTTAGTAGCTCCCCTGAAAATCTCCTTTCTTTGCCATTGGGAAGTTCTCAGGACATAATCTCACTCCATCCAGTATGCTGTGGCTCCTCCAAATCCTAGGGTTATAGAGGCTTAGCTCTCATGATGTACAGATTCAAGTGGACACTGGATGCCAGATGACTCTTGCTTCATAAGTTTGCAAGGAATTTGCCCTATGCTGATTAGGAGTTGTATGAGTTTCTCTTTCCTCCTTCTGTTCTTCCTTGTTCTCTACAGCTGAGTGGTATCTGTGATTCACTACCACTTTTGCTTTAATGAATTCATTCCATACCTACACTTGTCTGACCTATTCAATAATTCTTTCTCAACCAAAGTCAAGAACCCTCCTCCATCCAGGTTGTGTTAGGGTCCGGAGTCGACCACCTTTTAAATAGACAGAAGACACTCACAATAGTGCAAGTCACAGAGCAAGGTTTATTTCCAGCTAGCTGGGGTCCAAGTGTCTGCCCAATGCAGCGGGTTTCAACAAGGACCCAGAGCACTCAAAGCCAAGGGTTTATATAGCATTTTCAAAACACTTAACTCACAGTAATTTTTCACAGTTAAACATATTATTTTGGCTTGTGCCACATCCTGGGGGTTAAGCGAGAGCAAGATAAGACCACTCCTCAATTAGACAGAGTGTTTTTGCAAGATAAGCTGACCAGTGTCGCAATCACCCACAACCCAGTGTCCATGATTAACTTGTTCTTCAAAACCTGTTCAAGACTTACCCAGTTCCTCCTCCCCCAAGTCATGTACTCAGGAAATGGCTTCTCGGCCCTTAAGATGGCTGTTCTCATGCTAACCCATTCTTATAGTTGCAGTTTCACCTAGTTCACAGGGAGAGACTTCCCAGATGTAGCTGCCCAAACAGCTGTAGTAGTCTTTAAAAGAGTGCTCTGCAACCTTTTTGTTTTAATTTTAAGTGCATCTATTTTAATAAGCCTTTCTAAAGGAGGGAAAAATTCTTTTTCCTCTACTCTTTATAGGTTCTCCAGCTGGGCCATGTAAATTATACTAGCAATAGACAGATAAACAGGAGAAAAACAAACAGAAGTATATTAACATGTGCATCACTCATACACATAGGAGTACCCAAAGATAAGTAATTCAAAACGGTAGTTAGAACATGGATTTATATACCATTTTAGGCTGAACAAAGGAAAAAGGAATTTAGGCTTTTGGGCTAGGGAGGAAACTTATGGGAAGGTGACCAGGAAAAAGTACAGTAAACAAGAGTATTTTGTAAGGTTTGTCATACAGATTTAAGTCTTATTGTTGGATTCTCCCAGAGCAGGACGCCGCCCCAATTCACTCACAAAAGGCGTCTCTAGATGCAACAAGCAAGAGGAATTTATTCAGGAACCAGCTAGCTGGGGTCCAAGTTAGCCCGACGCAGCGGGTCTCAACAAGGACCCTGAGCACACAAAGCCAGAAGGTTTTATAGCATTTTCAAAGGGGGCGACATTTTCCACAATCACAATACAGTGTTTTTTCATAGACACATAAATCTTTGGCTGGGGCCACATCCTGGGGTCTGGTTAGATAAGATTAACTTCGGAATGTTTAGGGTGGTTCTAGCAAGATAAGCTGATTTGAGGTCAGCTAACTAAAAAGGTCACTACATTTAACACTGGCTGACTAACTTGTTTTTCAAGATTCTAATAATTTTCCTCCTTCTAGGTTAGGGGGTGGTATTTAAGCCTTTAAAATGGCTGTACTTATGCTAACTTTTGATTTTTCAGATCCTACATTTCCCCACTTCTCTTTAGGGGCATTCCAATCATGGAATGTTTGTATCTTCTTGTGGGGTGAGTGAATGATATTGTTGCCTCAACATCAGTACATGAACAGCACTCACTCTTTCTCTAACAAAAGTTATCAGCTGATTTAATATGCAGGGTCCTAAAGTGAGGAGCAACACAAGGATGAGTAAGGGCCCAGCCAGAGTGGATATCAGGGTTGTAAGCCACGGGGATCTAGTGAACCAAGATTCAAATAGCCCTTGGACAGCTTCTCGTTCTTTCTTTCTCTGGTCTAGCCTTTCCCTAAGTTTTGACATTGAATCTCTTACTATTCCAGAATGGTCTGCATAAAAGCAGCATTCTTCTTTTAAAGCTGCACACAGTCCTCCTTCTTTTAGGAACAGCAGATCCAGCCCTCGTCTATTCTGCAAGACTACTTCAGAGAGGGAAGTCAGAGATTCTTCAAGTTTTGTAATGGATTGCTCTATGGTCTTTAGGTCTTCATCAATAGCTGTCCTTAGTCCTTCATAATGTTGGTTCCCTTGGACAATAGCGGCTGCCCCCGTTCCCACTCCGGCTGCGACTCCTATCCCTAACAACACCGCTAAGGTCAGCGAGACCGGCTCTCTCTTATATCTATGCCTAGGTTCAAATTCAGCTACGAATGAGAGAGCATCATGATACATCAATCTGGGCACCAGCTGAACCATGATACAGAAATCACGGGAGGAGTTGAAGGCAGAAGTAGAGACACATGGGGTCACTCCAGTGTTACAAGCCCACCATCCCTCGGGAGGAGGGACTAGATACTCATTTTCACCTGAGGAGGTTACAGCTATGGTTTCATTACACAAAGCTTTATGGGTGGGGGGAACTGTACCTAAACATCTTCCTCTTCCAGTTACTTCGGTCAGGGTTAGTTTCCTATGGCTCCCCCAGCTACAGATCTCGTGACGGGTCGTCCTGTTAAAACTGCCCAACAATCCTAATCCTTCATAATAAGGCAGCCCAGAAGAGAAACACAACCAACACGATTCAGTAGTTTTAGGATTGGTGGTGTTTAAGGCCTGAAAAGCCCCTTCAAGGAGGTTGAGAAGGCATTGTCCTGTGCTAGGAAAAGGGGTAACTTGGCCAAGAGTGGAGACAGAGGGAGTGGTGGTAGAGTCCACAGGTGGGGCTAGGGTCTGCTTGGGGGCTGGGACTGGGAGATGCGGCCAATTACGCAGGACAGCGTTGGGTCCCACTAGGATAGCCGGGAGAGTCTCTACCTTAAGCCTGAGCATGAACAAGACTCCATTATCATAGCCACTCTGGTAGAGTCTTAGTCCCCATGTAAGCCCTTTTTCCCAGTTTGTTGCCCTTTTTCCTGCATCTGTGAAGGAGATGTCAATAAGATTGCAGGTGGGATTAGTCCTGCATTGGGCACGAGTGGCACCCCGTTGGATTTTTATGAGGCCTGGAGGAGGTCTCCCTGCACTTCCTGTCAGCCAAAGGCATGTCTCTGTCTGCTCACAACCCCAATTTTTACAAAAAAAATCTGTCTGCCCACCACACTGTGAGACCTCAGCAGCGGTTGAGGGGGCCGGGCATACATAAAAGCAGGTACTTTGGATCTCTTTCATAGTCCCAGGGCCCCAATGCACTGTATAATCCCGAGTGCCACATCCGGGTACCCCAACTTTATCTTCGTACCAGGGGTCTTGTTTGAAAAGAGTGCATATATCTACAGTGAGGGTAGGCCACCAGGTTCCCTTAGGGTGTTGTCCTGTTAACTGGACTACTACTTGGCGGGAAGCTGGGGTAATGATTTGCCATGTCAGTAACCTGGGTTCATGAAGGTTAGGGTTCTGGTGGGTTGGAGGCAGCAGGAACATCAGAATCACTAATAACATAGTTCTTTCTACACAAGCGAAGCTTAAGGGGGTTATCAGTCCAAGTTACTTGCCAGTCCGGGTCCGGTGGGGGTGCCTTCTTTAGATGTGAAGCGTGTATCCAGGAGGAGATGCCATCCACTTTCACGGCTGTGGGAGTAGTCAGGAGGACAATGAAAGGTCCCTTCCACCGCGGCTCGAGGTTTCCTGTCTGGTGTCTTCTCACGTAGACAGGGTCTCCCACCTGGAACTGGTGAGGTACTGAGAGGTCCTCTGGCTGATAGGCTTCCTTAATGAAGGCCCACACCTCTTTCTGCACAGCCTCCAAGGCTCGTAACCTTTCAAGCAAAAACTTATTAGTTGCACACTCGGGGAATGTATGAAGATGTGCTGATTGGAGCGGGGCCGGGGCCCCAAACATTATTTCAAAGGGTGTTAGTCCAAAGCGGCCGGGAGTGTTCCTGACTCTAAACAGGGCGAAGGGAAGGAGGACTAACCAATCACATAAGCCAGTCTCTATGGACAATTTAGTCAAGGTCTCTTTTAGAGTTCTGTTCATCCTTTCTACCTGTCCTGAGCTCTGGGGCCTGTATGCACAATGCAATTTCCAATCCGTCCCCAGGATCTTGGCCAATCCCTGACTTACCTGGGCAACAAAAGCAGGGCCATTGTCGGAGCTGATTACCTTTGGGATCCCAAACCTGGGAAATATTTCTTCAAGGATCTTTTTAGACACCGTCTGAGCTGTCTCAGTTTTGGTGGGGAACGCCTCTGTCCATCCTGAAAATGTGTCTAGGAAAACTAGAAGGTAGTTATATCCATACTTAGCAGGCTTAATTTCAGTGAAGTCAACTTCCCAATAAGCTCCTGGGCGATCTCCTCGAAGTCTTTTCCCGGATATTGCTGGATTTTTGCTCACGTTTTCTAATTGACAGGGAACACAATTTTTTACAACCTCGTCAGCCAATTTTCCTAATCCAATAACATGATAAGGGGAGTCTCGAACCAAGGTCTTTAGGTTTTTTGCTCCCAAATGTGTCAATTGATGTAATTGCCTTAAGTATTCTTCTGCCTCTCTCTGGGGCAGGACAACTTTCCCTTTTTCAGACTTGTATATCTCTTGGGGCGAGGAATTTTTGAACCCTAATTTGTTTATACAAGTGAGATCTTCAGGTGTATACTGGAAGCTCTTAAAGTGGGTGGCTTCTGGATACACTTGGAGGGGTAAAATGCTCATTCCCTGAGCTGCTTGCTTTGCGGCTTGGTCCGCCCTCCGGTTTCCTCAAGCTATTGGAGAGTCTTCTTTCTGATGTCCAGGGCAATGTATTATCGCTACTTCCTTAGGCCTATGGATGGCTTCTAACAAATCTAAAATTTCTTGTTTGTTTTTAACATCTTTCCCGGCAGAAGTTAACAGCCCTCTCTGTCTATAAATAGCCCCGTGTATATGAGCAGTGGCAAAAGCGTATCGGCTGTCAGTGTAGACGTTAAGTCTCTTACCTTCTGCCATCCTTAGAGCCTGAGTCAGGGCAATGAGTTCTGCTCGCTGTGCAGAAGTGCCCGTTGGGAGTCCACTGGCCCACACGATCCGGTCATCATCTACTACTGCAGCTCCAGCCATTCTCTTACCATTCATGATGTAACTGCTCCCGTCTGTATACCAAGTCAGGAGTCCCGGTCCTCCTAAGGGCTGATCTTGTAAGTCCCGGCGGGTCCCTGTCTCCTCAGCCAGGATTTCCTGGCAGGTATGAAGCACTTCCTTCCCCAAATCAGGGAGCAGAGTGGCCAGGTTTAGGATGGCAGGGGGGGCAAACTCCACATGATCACAATTCAGGAGTAAGGTTTGGTAGTGAGTCATTCTGGCATTCGACATCCATCTCTCGGGTGGTTGTCGGATTACACTCTCTAACGCATGTGGAGCAACCACAGTGAGTTTTTGTCCCAGTGTCAGTTTGTCAGAATCTTTAACCAAGAGGGCCATGGCCGCCACTACTCTCAAACAGGCAGGCCATCCGCTACTCACTGGGTCCAATTTTTTTGACAAGTAGGCGACAGGTCTCTTCCAAGGTCCCCATTGTTGGGTCAACACTCCTCGAGCCACTCCGCTTCGTTCATCCACAAAAAGGACGAACGGCTTAGTCACATCTGGCAAGGCCAGAGCGGGTGCCGACAGGAGGGCCTTCTTGATATCATCAAAGGCCTGCTGTTGTTCAGGTCCCCAAACAAACGGGGCCGCCCCTTTGGTTAGGGGATACAGGGGGGCGGCTAAGGTGGCATATCCGGGTATCCATAGTCTACAAAACCCTGCCGTCCCCAGAAACTCGCGAACTTGGCACGAAGTAGTAGGAACCGGGATCTGCGTCACAGTCTGCTTTCGGGCTTCAGTAAGCCACCTTTTCCCCTCTCTCAGGGAATATCCCAAATAAGTCACTTGTTGTTGGCAGATCTGTGCTTTCTTGGCAGATGCCCTATACCCCAATTTAGCAAGTTCAGTCAAAAGGGCTCCAGTGGCCTCTTGGCAGGCTTTCTGAGTAGGGGCTGCTATCAACAAGTCATCGACATATTGTAACAAAGTTACCTGTGGGTTGGAGGCTCGGTAAAAGGCCAAGTCCTGATGTAAAGCCTCGTCGAAGAGGGTGGGTGAATTCTTGAATCCTTGTGGCAAGCGAGTCCAGGTCAATTGTCCAGTAGTTCCTGTGGAGGGGTCTTTCCATTCAAAAGCAAACAGCGGTTGGCTACTCTGGTGCAGGCGCAAACAAAAGAAGGCGTCTTTTAAATCTAAGACTGTATACCAGGTGTTTTCCGGGGCCAGAGAGCTTAGCAGGTTATAAGGGTTCGGCACAGTGGGATGAATGTCCTGTATCCTCTTATTAACTTCTCTTAAATCTTGCACTGGTCGATAATCTCCTGTTCCCGCTTTCTTTACAGGCAGCAAGGGAGTGTTCCATGGGGATTTACATTTTACTAATATCCCCTGCTCTATGAGCCTCTGGATATGGGGCCTAATTCCATCTCTGGATTCTTTACTCATTGGATATTGTCTTACAGTTACTGGTAAGGCTGAGGCTTTCAATTCTATGACCACCGGGGGCTGGTTTACAGCGAGCCCCATACCCGCCGTCTCCGCCCAGGCCCCCGGAAACTGGTTAAGCCACCCCTGACTAACTCGGGAGGGTCCTGGTTCCTTAAAAAGGTGGTACTCGTCTTCTAATCTTATGGACAGAATACTTAGGCCCAAAGGTTTTTTCTCTCGATCAGTCACTCGGGTATCTTCAGCCTGAAAGGATATTTGGGCCCCGACTTTGGTCAAGATGTCTCTTCCTAACAAGGGTGTGGGGCATTCCGGTATGACAAGGAATGAGTGGTTTACTTGTCCCACTCCTAAGTCCACTGTTCTTTGGGTAGTCCATGCATATTGTTTCTGGCCCGTGGCCCCGAACACCCAAGACTTTTTGCCAGAAAGAGGGCCTCTAGCTTGGGTCAGTACAGAATGTTGAGCACCGGTATCCACCAGAAACTCAACGGGTTGCCCCTCCACCTTCAGGGTTACCCTAGGCTCGGGGAGGGGCTCCGAGCCCCGTCTTCCCTAATCCTCATCTTCCAGCAGAGACAACACCTTCTTCAGAGGTCCCCGTGGTGGTTTCTTAGGGCATTCTTTCACCCAATGCCCCTTTTCCTTGCAGTACGCACACTGATCTTTATCCAAAGGAGGTCGGTTGCCCAGGGACCCTGCCTTACTAGTTCTACCACTAGAGGGCAGGCGTCCCTTACTTTCTACTACTGCGGCCAAGATCTTTGTTAAATTTCTCTCATGCTTCCTGTCCCTCTTTTCCTCTTTACTTTCCCTTTCCTTTTCCTTCCTTAATTCCTTCTCTTCCTCAGTCTCTCTCTTATGATAAACTTTCTCAGCTTCTTTCACCAAATCCCTCAGCGACAAATCCTGTAAGCCTTCTAGTCTCTGAAGCTTTTTTCTAATATCAGGTGCTGATTGCCCAATAAAGGCAAGAGCCACTGAAGCACTGTGCTCCTCAGAAGTGGGGTCAAAAGGAGTATACCGCCTGAAGGCTTCCATCAGGCGTTCTAAGAACACTGCGGGTGCCTCAGCGGCTCCCTGACTAACCTCTCTTACCTTGGCCAAATTGGTGGGGCGCCTTGCGGCCCCGCGAAGACCTGCCACCAGAGCCTGGCGATAGATGGTTAGTCGCTCCCTACCTTCTGGAGAATTAAAGTCCCAATTGGGTCTGGTCAGCGGGAACCCCCTTTCTATATCATGAGGGAGTTGCGATGGTCGTCCGTCAGTCCCAGGCACGTTTTTTCGCGCCTCCAGGAGGATCCTTTCTCTTTCTTCCGTGGTGAAGAGTACCTGTAAGAGCTGCTGACAATCATCCCAAGTGGGCTGGTGAGAGAACATCAGGGACTCTATCAGTCCCATTAGTCTCTGCGGTTCCTCCGAAAAAGGAGGGTGGTTAGCTTTCCAATTGTATAAATCAGCAGAGGAGAATGGCCAATATTGCAGAGGTTGGAAAGGCGGGTCCCCCTCTTCCCCAAGGATGGGAACTCCATAAGACCGGAGAGGAAAAATACCCGGTGGGTCCAAGGTGGCCCCTCGGCGGCGCCGAGTTCCCTGGGCAGGTCCCGGAGCCGGCTCCACTGCCTCAGCACCAGGGGCTGGCGGTTCCGGGGGTACCGGGGCTGGCAGTGCCGGGGCTGGGGGTGCCGGGACCGGGGGTGCCGGGGCCGGGGGTGCCGTAGGGGCAGGAGGATAGGGAGGGGGATCATCAACCATAAGCAAATCATCTTGAGTGTCAGGGTGAACTCTAGTGGTTTCTTTTTCCTTGCTCTGGGGTTGGGTCTGGGCAGCTAAAACTCGAGGGCCCGTTTTCTTCTGCACCCAGGGCTTTACCCAGGGCGGTGGGTTTTTCACCAACTCTTGCCAGACTACAATATAGGGTTGCTGATTCGGGTGTCCTTGAGGCGAATCCTGGAAGACAATGGCTTTTACTGCTAATAAAGTGGGGAGATCAAAAGTCCCCTCCGAGGGCCACCCAACATTGAAGGTGGGCCATTCGGAGGTACAGAAAGTCTGCCATGGTCCCTTTTTTACTTCTACTGACAAGTTATGCGCTCTCGCTCTGACTTCCGTCCAATGATCTAACGTCAGGCTAAGGGGGGTCGTCACTGTCTGTCCCATTGTCAGTATAACAATAATCAGGCACGTAAAAGACACAGAAAACAAAGACACACACAAATTAGACACACAGTGGCCGCTTTTTGTTTTTCTCAGATTTTCAAACAGAAACCGAAAGGAATCGGAGGGTTGATACTCCTGGCGCCCAAAAATCAACCCTATCTCATCAGGTTCACTTTGCCGGAAAAACAGACGAGAGGCTACCAGGCGTCCCTGGCCCTCCAACCTCCCCGAGGCGTCCCCCAGGGTTGCAGCCTGCGGTGCTCCAAGTACGTCTACCGACCGCAGTCTCGACCCCTTTACGGGATCGGGACAGCTGCCAGACAACGGGTACCCTTTCAGAATTCCGACTGGTCTCACTGAAAAACAGAAAACAGAACACCCAAGGCACCACTAACCTTACCTCTTCCTCCAAGAACGGCTTTGGGAGTGAAGCGGGGTGAGCACACCATCCCGGACGAGCCCCCAAATGTTGGATTCTCCCAGAGGAGGATGCCGCCCCAATTCACTCACAAAAGGCGTCTCTTGATGCAACAAGCAATAGGAATTTATTCAGGAACCAGCTAGCTGGGGTCCAAGTTAGCCCGATGCAGCGGGTCTCAACAAGGACCCTGAGCACACAAAGCCAGAAGGTTTTATAGCATTTTCAAAGGGGGCAACATTTTCCACAATCACAATACAGTGTTTTTTTCATAGACACATAACTCTTTGGCTGGGGCCACATCCTGGGGTCTGGTTAGATAAGATTACCTTGGGAATGTTTAGGGTGGTTCTAGCAAGATAAGCTGATTTGAGGTCAGCTAACTAAAAAGGTCACTACATTTAACACTGGCTGACTAACTTGTTTTTCAAGATTCTAATAATTTTCCTCCTTCTAGGTTAGGGGGTGGTATTTAAGCCTTTAAGATGGCTGTGCTTATGCTAACTTTTGATTTTTCTGATCCTACATTATGACTTTTATATTGTTAAGAGCTAAGATTCCTCCTTTTCCTGTATGTGAAAGCAATATACCTTTAAAAATGGAAATTTCCTTTATAATGTAAATTTATTTTAGGAAAATTTGTCCCCTGAAGCTTTTCCTAAGTATGCTGAATCTCAATGGTCTTAAGCTCAAAATAAACCATATACCAAATAATTTTATTTTGATATAGCATATTCTGATACTTTTCACTTAATTGCATTAAGATCAATTATATTCCTTAAAAATTGTCTAGATAAACCACACACAAGATAAAAGTAGAATTACAGTATATGCAATGGTTTTTCTGGTAAATGTTTAAAAACCAGTTTCTGGAAAATATGTGTATATATTTATGATAAATTTTATTAACACAAAGGATGCATAGCACACAACTTAAAGTAATAAATATATAATGCTCTTGATTGTAATTTTCATATACTTCATTGATTATCAGACAATTGTGTGTGTGAACATAACAGTTTTGTATGCTGAAGTTTCCAACTTAAACTTTTAAATTGATTAAAGTACAATCTTAATGGAAATAATATAAATGTTGAAAACTGCATATTCCCCCATTTAAACTGTTATACCTTCTCTCAGCTACTCTTTTGCATCAGACTAACCAAATATGAGCTACAAAATAACAACCTAAAGTAACAAGAGGATTGAATCAAGACAAGTTATGGTACTGATGTAAAGTAACAAAAAGCAATACAACTCCTTACCATACTGAATTAGTATGATGAAATATATCTCTTAGTGTCTAAGTTAATGAGTTAAATGTATCTCAGATTCAGAAGAAAATTAAACAGGCAGTTTGAAAGCTTTTGTTCTGTAACTCAGTACAAACATACTTTTTTTAACTAATCAACATAGTATTAAATGATTATTAAGGATGAATAAATACTAGCAGAAAACAAATCAATTATGGAAAATAGTAATCATTAAGGGATTTATGTAGCCTCCCCACTTTATTCTGGATTATATTTATTCATTGAGCGAACATTTATTAAACCTATTACATTCTAGTCCCTGTGTTAGTGGCTGTTATTTGTAACTCTCTTTTCCTGTGTAGGGAAAATGGAATGTTCTTGGCTAGGATTCTCAACTGATCCTAATATCTCCTATTGTTTACATGCAATGATTTAATATTTGGCCTACAGCACAGGTGCATACTTGTATACCCATTGACAATAAACCATTACTGCTGATATTGCTATAAAAAGAGGTTTCCCAGTGCTAAGAGCAGAACCAAAGAGAGCATGAGAGAGGGGGGCTGGAGGTAGAGGAAGAGCCTGGGGCACAGGCTGAGCCTGAGGCAGAGATGGAGGCAGATGGGATTCTAGTACTTAAACTATCCCTGTGAGAATAAAGCTTGATATGAGCTTTTTTAACCCCCAAGATTATATTGTTGTTATTCGGTCTTACCAAATCCAGAGTGAACTTGACCAGGCCTGAAACTCTAAGATGAGATACACTGTATTGAGTTATAAACAGAAATGTGAGTAACAGGAATGCTGATTTTGTATTTTTACCAAGTATTTTTATGAGTTGAGTTTATTTTCCTCAGTGCTTGTTCCCACCACACAAAGAACTGAAAAACAGACACAATAGCAAATAAGAGTGAAAATTTTATATGAATACACTTTATGGGAGGAGTGGGCCACACATAAGGTAGACAAAGGCCCCAAACTTTTAGGGGAGGGTCTATTTATCATGACCTATCTGAGAGGCACATATCTGATTGACAGGGAGAGGTCATTTGATTGACATCTCTATTTACATGCCCATTCCTCTTGGTGCACATGTCTTTTCCCAAAACGTACACAGAAAATGCACCATGGGGTGGGTAGCAAACCACAATTTTATTTTAATGAGATTATGAGATTTTGGCAGTTCTTAGTTTTGTTTGATTGCACCCATGTTGGGACCTGATTGGTACCAGTGATGCCAGGGTTCTTGTTTGTGGAGCCGAAGTATGAGCTTCACAAACAGTCAATGTAGGAGAGCAAGGTACAGGCTTTTATTTAGAAATAAAGTGAGAGAATAGAGCTCCTGGCTCATGCCAGGAGGGGACAAGAGAGCCCTTAGTGGTGCTTTGTCTAGGGGGTTTTATAGGCAGTTAAGGATTTTTCGAGAACATGAAAAAACTTAGGGGTGTGGACTTGCATCACCTGCCCTGTACTCAAGGTGGGCTGGGTCATAGTCTGATTGCTAGGGCTGACAGTGGAGTCATGGGGTTATGCTGATACCCTTGCAGAACACTCAAACATTCCAGGCCAAGTTGCTCCTGGCTTTTTGACCTTTAACTGATCTCACTGAAGATGTCTATATTCTTAGGTGTCTTTCCCTAGAAAATTAGTGTGACCTTGACTTTGCATAATGCTTAACGGAGTTTCAATGGGGACTTCTTTGCCCATTGTTACATTGCTCTGACTGTGAATATTCTGCCCTGCTTTTCCCCATGGCCCCTGTCTCACCAGTTTGTCCTGATCTTGATAAGCAAGAAGTTATCTCCCTGTAAAGGCTTTATTGTCTTCATGTGGGCCCCCTGTTGTGCCGGAAGTCGTGAATCCCAAGGAGACCATAAGCAAGAAGTTATCTCCCTGTAAAGGCTTTGTTCTCTTCATGTGGGCCCCCCTACCTGGGTAGTTTGGGTAGTTTTTTTTCTTGAACTCTATCTTCCTCTTCCCCACTGCTCATCTGTATCTTTCTACCTAACAGTAATGAGAAAGGGACTCTGGATGTAGTCAGAGTAGGGTGAGGGCCTCCGGAGGGGGCAGGGCAGGATATTTGCAGTCAGAGCAATGTAACTACATGCAAGGAAACCCCCCTGCTAAAGCTCTATGTTAAACATTGAACTCTAGAATCATTCTTCAGTGAGATCAGTTAATGTTCCCCAGATAAAGAAGGGTAGCACATGTTTTATTATGCTAATCATTTGCAACCATGTGTAAGATTCACTTTAGCATGCTAAACGGCCTAGGCCTATGTACTGTATTTCCTCCTTCAGATCTGACGAGGTAATTTTGCAAACTGAGCAACTTACTTAGCATGCAGACCCAGCTGTAGACGGCAAGGTAAAAGGCAGGAAGAATTCCATCTTGAAGATAAGATTGCATTTTAACACCCAGGAAGTTCAAGAGGCAAGATTCTTTAGCAAGTAGACAATACCTCAGCCCACCTTGGGGGCTGGACAGGCAGCCTTTTGATATGCTCTCAGACCAAGGCCCCGGTGTTCCAGAGAAAAATCAAAGCAGGAAATTCCTTTCACTTAAGTTAATTTTTAATATTCAGGGACCACTTAACAAGTCCCCACCCCTAAGTTTTTTCGTGTTCTCGAAAAATCCTCAACAGCCTATAAAACCCCCTAGACAATGCACCACTACAGACTCTCTTGTCCCCTCCTTGCATGAGCTGGGTGCTCTGTCCTTTCACTTTATCTCTAAATAAAAGCCTGTACCTTGCTCTCCTACCTGGAGTGTTTGTGAAGCTCATTCTTCGGCTTCGTGAGCAAGAACCCCGGCATCAAGGAAACAGATAAAAAAACTCTACAGACGGAGAGATTTCTGAAATAAAACAGTTAATCAATCTTTTACAGATGTTAGCTTGTAAAAGTTTGAGGCTGAGTCACAGGACAGGAAGTTTTTGTTTCACCAGCAGCAAGGCCAGTTAACAGAAATAACTTGTCTGCCAGACTCAAGAAACAGGGAACGTTTAGGAGGGGCCTCAAGGAAAGAAAGTTCATTGAATTCACATTGACTACTGCTAAGGAAGGTGAGTTAATGCCAAAGCAGGGAAAGTCCTGGGATAGGGGATTAGTACATAGAGAAGGCTCATGGGTTGGTTATTGAGAGTCAGACACTGGTCACATGCAAGGGGGATGTGGTGGTCCTGGGGACCTTCTAGATGATTATAGAAATGACTACATCCAGAAACATGGAGGTTCTGGTTAGTTGTGGCCTGTACACACAAATACACACCAACAATTCAGTGGCTCATGAATAATAAGTCTATTTATCTCTTCTATAGCAATCAAAGATGAGTATTCCAGGACAGAAAGGCACTCTGCTTTATTCAGTCATCAAAACCCATCTGAATTCTGTTCTTTAGTATCTTTTATATAGGCTTCCAGTGATTTTTTTACTTGTTGATATTCTGGCTTTGTAGCCAAGGAAAGAAAATATGGAAGAGGTATTTTTTTTAAGACAATGGCCCAGAAGGGACAGATGTTAATTCTTCTCACATTCCATTAGAAATAATAAAGTCACATGCCATAACAAACTACAAGGGAAGCTGAGAAGTGCAATATCTAAGTAGGCAGCCATGTACCCAATTAAACTCCACCAGTTTATGGGAGAAATGGATTTTGGTGGACAGCTAGTAGTCTCTGATTCATGAAGGAAGAAAAAGAA